AGCTGGAAGTGAAAAGCAGAGAAGGCCTGCTGTGCCTCCCACCCACTCTGGCCCCACAGAAGGGTATTTGGGGAGCCACCCTGGTGCCTGAGGGGCAAGAGAAAGTGCTGGGCTCGGGGCAAGGCTGCTTCTCTGAGCTGCTGTGCTTGGCAAGGGCTGGTCAGCTGGGAATGTGCTGGTGGGACTGCTTAGCAGCCCTGAGTGTTTCAGTTCTGCGAGGAGCACCAGGGGATGGTTTGGTATGCTGTAGGAGAGGGTCTTTGTCCAAAGCGAAAGGAAAGCCAGGGTGTCACTTGTGCAAGCCCCTGGGCTGAAGCAGCTCCACTGAACCAGGGGAAGCGGTGGACACTGATGACACTACTGTCTCCCCATGGATTTCTTCTATCTCTTCTTATTCTAGGCTATTTCAGGATCTTCCTGAGAGGAATGGGCTGAAGTTCTTTCCAGAAGTGGGAAAAATCATTACATTAACACTGCTCCCACTCTTCATTATCTCCTGCCCCAGCTGTGTAATCTTGCTTCTAAAAGTGCATGCTCTAATTAACAAAAAACATTGAAATTCAGGTCCAGCTCCCACAATTTCAGGAACATTTGGTGCTGTAAAACCATAGGAAACCATAAATTCAGCAAATTAAATCAGTTCCTGCCTGTCTCTCTGGCCCAACGCATGGAAAGGGAAGAGCACCCTGCTGACTTCATGCACGGGGAGTCAAATTCCACCAGCGTCGGTGCTGGGAAAGGCAGGCAGCAGGCAGTCCCAAAAGGCACATCTCCTCCAAGCAGACATTAGAAGAATGCCATATGATATAGGGAAAGTGTACAGCAAGCACTGAGCTCATCCGTCACTTTTTGTTTAATCTAATTAAACACAGTATATCCTCTGACCTTCCGAGTTGGCATTAAATTCTCCTATGTTGTTCTTTCCATATGAAGCTCTATTGATAGACAGGGAAAGCCCAGAGTTTGTTTTAAGCTTCAGATAAGTGAAGTTAAACATACAGCAGATAAAATTGTTTTCCCACTCCTCTCCCACTGGCCAATTGTGGGTGCTCACTGGGAGGGCTTAACTCCTCTGGCCTATATCCCACCCCTGGCTCGGGGTGCTCTGCAGTGAGTGAAAGCATGGTAATGAGCTGCTGTAAGAAGGCAGAGTGCTGCACAAACCCTTGAAAGTTCATTTTTAGAGTTGATTTTGACAGTTGCTGAGCTTCATTTCTATGTGGCAGATGATTACAGAAAATGGTGCCACTCCTCCCTAAATATATTTCCAGAGTCACTGAATAATTTGCTACCTAACAACTAATCAGTCAGCAATTGCTGGTGCTGGGAGAGGTTTTAAATAAAATGTGTCAAATTGCATCAGCCACCTCTTGCATGTTGCCTGCATACACAGGCTACGTGCTATTGCTGTGTGTGCAAGAGCGCAATCATTCAACTCAGCTTTGTGAGTTTGCTGGGAGGGAAAGCAACAGGGAGCTGGGCTTTGGGGAGAGCAGGGTGCCAGCGTGCCACAAGCAGGTGTAGGCTTTCAGCATGACAACCTGTGTGCTGACTTCCTTGCAAGCAAATGAGAAGAGCACATATCTGTCCTTCACTGGCATAATTTGGTGATGCCACCTGCCAAGCTATTTTTTCCATTATGGTGAAAAATCCTTTGGTCAGAATTGGGGCAATTATTGCAGGTAATTCCTCCATGTGTGTACAGCTGTGCCTGTGCTCTTGGATGTATACACAAGAAACTCTTGAAATATTGACCAATAGTTACAGAATAGCCTGGAGGTGATGCCCTTATGGTTCCTGGCAGGCTGGGTGAAAGGAGATTTCTTTACAGTAAATAGCTTTAATGCTCCCTTTGTATATTAATAGTGCTGGGCAGGGCAAGACGCAGCAGCCTGCCAAGTTCAGAGGGGCTGTTTCCTGCACGTGGCCATGGAATCAACCTGGAGTGGTCTGGACCTTGTGGCTCTGATTTTCTATGACCGGCTGCAGGAGCCCAACATGGGGCTTGGCATGAGTGGGATCCCAGGCTTTGAGATGTTCACCTCTGTCTGAGCCCATGCCAGCATTCAAATAAACACAGACTTCTTGCTGGAATCTCTTGACCATCCTCAGTGACTGTGAAGGACCCTGCTACTGGTTCACAACCACCTAACTTCTCCCTTGAAGCTGTAGGAAAGTACATAAGGTGAACTTTTAGAGCTATTACTTACCTGGGGAGAATTTATCTGCAGACAAAGAGGGTGGCAGGATCGCTGGGGGCATTGGCCAGTGTTGCTTCTGCATGGTCCAGCTCTCCTCTGCAGCTGGTCAGCAACCCCAGAAAATACACAGATGAAGTTGTGCAGCTGCTGGTTTACTAGGAGAGCTGCCCCTTGCAAATCTCATGACAGAGTGACAGGACATTTTTTATAACTACATGCAACCCACCAAAAAAAAGTTGGACCAAGCAGGCTGCTCTGCAAAGTGAGCTGTGCATCTGGGCAGTAAAGTGTGATGGGCTAGAGCTTCCTTGTGATGAAGCAAACTTTCCCTCATAACACTGGGAGGTGGCTCAGTTGTAAACCAAAATTCCAACTCCTGAAGGAATCTCAGAGGGGGAGGTCCCTTCTATCTCCTGCAAGTGCCATCATGAAGTGTCCCCATCAAGCCAAGAGGGAAGGGGCTGTGTGAAGCAGAATTGCTGGTGACACCCACCATGGTGGTGACAACATGCCTTGCAGCCTATTTCCAGCACATCAGGAGTGACTTGAGATGTACAAAACAGCCTCAAGCCCCTCCATAAAATGTCCTTAAACATGTTCTGAACACTTGGGTTGGAAATGCCTGGCCAAAGGTGTTTATGAAACCAGGTGGTGTCTGGATGAAAGCATTTCCCTCCAGTGTGAAAGAATTGGGATGTACTACCTGTTCCTTGTGCAGGTGTGCTCAGTGACCAGGTGCTTTCTGTCTTGTTCAGCTCAGCAGACAGTTTTTTGTTGTGTCTTTTCTTGGGAGCCATTACCCTGCTCTGAGAGCAGTGCTGGAGCGGAGCACGTGGCTCCTTGGACAGCCACAGTAAGGGGAAGCCAGGATGGTTTACCCTGCTTTAGGGGCCACTTGCCTTCATTCTGATTGTGTTTTGAAGTACCTCAAGGTTTTAGCTCTAAAGCTCTAACCACAAAAAAAAAAAAATCTTGGCTTGGGAAGGCGCATTGCCTTGGCATGTTTCCTGGGACTGAGTGACTTATGATGCAGTGCTGAGGGGGGAGGACTCCTTCTCCTTGTTTTAGAGGAGGTGGATCATGTTCATCTGGAGTCCAAACTCCCCTCAGAGACTTCTTCTTCCCCCTTTTTTTTTCATGACATCAGCCAGGACTTGATGTTACTATTTTAAAAACAAAAGGAGGGGACACCCCCCTGCTTCCCTCCTGCTCTCTGCCAAAATGAGAACAAAGAACAGCTAAAGTACACAAGTTCTGGCACTCCTTGTGGAAATAAAAACATTCATCCTCATGTCAGGTAGGGAACTGCCCGACCCTCCTGCCAAAGCAAGCAAGCGGGGCAGCAGAGCAAACTGCGGCGCAGAGGAGCCCAGGCAAAGAGGATTGCCCGGTGTCACCCCATGCTTGGGCAGCTGCTTGCCAAACTCCTGCACTGCTGTACCAGTGCCAGGGCACAGCGAGATGCTCCCGGCCACAGGCAAGTCACCCAGGGAAGGGCTACCCTGGTCCTCTCAGGCTGGGAGGTGGGGAAGGACCTTTCTTCTTCCTCTCTCCCACCCTCAGTCCCCACCATGCTGTCAGCCCCTGAATCTCCAAGCAATGTGTCCCCACTCTCTGGCAGGGCTGGTGCACAGCATGGCAGTGGCCCGATGTAATTTCCATGCTTTAGACATGAACATCTTTGTCTGGCTTCTTCCTTGCTATGTAAACCTGTCAGCAGTTCCCAGTACAGATTCTTGTGCCATGAGTTCACCACCAAGAAACATCCAAACTGCAAGTTAGGGCTGCTGGCTCTTCCTCGCCTGTCTGCAAAGTGTTACTGGAACAGGAGCCAGTTCTCCAAACACGAGGAAGGGATTATTTGGGCTTTCTGGAAGGCTCCCTCCCATGCCTTCCGTGTGGAGCAAATGAGGATAATTTATCTGTGGGCTTCCAGCTGAACCCAGTAGCTCAGAGCAGCCAGGACTACACTGTTTGTCCCTTGTTTCTGCAAGAAAGCATTTTTCCATCGTCACCATTGTATATCGTTGGCCTGATTTGTTTGCACCGTTGCCTTCTGGGGCTGAGGTAAGAGGTCGTTCCCTGCCTTTTACCTGCAGCATGTTCTCCAGAACAATCCAGGGAAAAACTTCCACAGGAAAGAGTCTTCAAAGGAAGCTTTTGTATGTCTGATACAGCCCTTGTTACAGTCATGTAAATAGTAATTCTCTGGTGAGAAACACAACATGTCAGAAGGGAAAATTGTACTCTAAAATATAGTAGGAGATGGGCCAAAGCAGGCAGATCAACTGGCAGCTTAACAGACAAAGCTGCTGCCTTTCAGTGGGGAACAAAATCTTGGTGTGTGCTTGTGTGAGTGCCTCTTGTTCCCTGCAAGAGCTGAAGTCAAGTTTTGTGGCTGGGTAGAAATCCTGTGCTCCCTTCCCTCTCTGTCTACCATGATCTAATGCAATACCCAAGGATGGGTTAATGTGCCTGCTATTTCTCCAGGGGGATGGGGGAAGCAGAGATAAGGTAATGTAGATGGCAGGGCCTCTACAGTGGGAGCAGCCAACTGGAACAACACTGTAATGCTACCCACTTTAGTGAAGTTAGTAATGATTTTTGAATGTAGAGTCAAGGCCCAATGGCCATGGCTTGGCACAGAGCAACGGGAAAAGAGCAGATTCTCTGGTTGCTTCCATCCTGTGTTGGCTCCGGTGCCTCCTTCCCTGTCCAGAACAGCTGTGTGCTGCCTGAAGTGACTCTACAGACAGCTTAAAACACTGCATTCACTGTAATGATTTTTTTTTCCCTTAGAGCAAATCATGGCGGAAGATCAAGAATATGGTGCACTGGTCCCCATTTGTGATGTCTTTCAAGAAGAAGTACCCTTGGATCCAGCTTGCAGGGCATGCAGGTACAGAGCATGGGAGGGGCAGGGCCATGGAAAGACTCTTTGTTATCTCAGGATTTATAGACTTTGTTGGCCAGAGCTGCTTTTGATTGTGGCACAAATGTCACAGATTTCAGCTCCCATGACTTTGGCCTAGGAGAATGAATTACCTAAGTAGTAGGGAGGGTGATGTGAAGGTGCAGTATTCTGTGCTTTTGGTGTCCCAGAGCCAGCAGGCATTATTGCTGCTTTTTTCTCAAGCAGCAGAAGGCTAAGTCCTTTGAGTGAGACCCAAGCCCTCATGCTGATCCACAGCAAAGTGGATGATGCTGCCCAGCATGAAGATGCCCCATGCATGAGCCTAGAGACAGAAGTGTGAACCTACCATGAAGCATACAGAGGCTGTGAAGAAAACATATTGGACACTGCTGGTTGTAAACCTCTGAAACTACATGTGAATCTGACAGCCTGAGCTTGTAAGTCTCAGCCTGCAGGAACTCTTTTGGGTGGAGGTGTAAACAGAGAGGCATCTGAGATGTTGGGCCACCTTTCTTGTTTGGGGAAGGCATCATTGCCCCATGCAAAGCAAGTGCCACACTGTCCCTTGTCACCCTTAGGTAGCTTCAAGGCAGCAGCCAACGGCAGGATACTGAAGAAGCACTGTGAATCAGAGCAGCGCTGCCTTGACCGCCTGATGAACGATGTCCTGAAGCCCTATGTTCCTGCCTACCACGGAGATGTTGTGAAGGATGGTGAGCGATACAACCAGATGGAAGATCTGCTGGCTGAATTTGACTCCCCATGTGTTATGGACTGCAAAATGGGGGTCAGGTGAGTGGCTCTGGGGACACTGATTTTTAAGATGGGACACTCCAAGCAAAAACATCTCCGAAGTAAAACACAGATAGTTACAGGGAAGCCTGGGTATAGGAAAGACATACGAGGCTCATTCCTCCTCTGCTTCTTGACCATCCTGTGTGCTGGGCAAGTGTTTTGGTGGAGAGGACTGCTCGCTGTTTGGGTTCAGGTACACCAGAATGGCACACTAGCTTTTAGGAGGTTGTCAACCTGCCCCTCTGTGCTGCAGGAGGATGCAGCCAGGGAGCAGAAGGTGTTGGAGATCCTTCCCAGAGTGCCAGAAGGGTGAAATACACTTGAATGGCACAGCTTCGCTGGGCGAGAAACTTTCCTCTGCTCACCCTTTGCTCCCACGCACACTTGAGGGATAAAATGTGGGTGCTAAGTAGTTTAGTGCCTTTCATGCAAAGTTCTTGAAACACTTCCTATCAGATGAGCAACATTACCCGTGATGTCCTTGGGAACCATCAACAAATATGCCAAGATTCCAAGCTGCAGCCACTTGGCCAGCAGCAATTTTTGAGCTACCAAGGCCACAGCTGACAAGGGTATCCCAGGGCAAGCATAACTAGGTCTGGTGATGCTAGGGAGCTGCCAGCTTTGGAGCAGCCCCAGGCCACCCCTCAGCCTTTGGTGGGCTGGCAGCAGGGTGGGTAGAGACCCCCCCTTCACTGGCTAAGGCACAGCCCAGAAGCAGTGGAGACACTTGTGCTGCTGGGAAAGCTAATGATTTCTGTAGAAGGGATGAATCTCTTTTTTCCCCCCTCCTGATCTCCCAATGTGAAACTCGAACTGGTGTGTCTGGCTGTCAGCAGAGAAGAGGTGAGGCAGGGAAGAGGTGAGGAATACCTTACACTGGAGGGGTGGGGAGGAGGACAGAGGACTCCAGTGCAGCCACAGGACTGTAGCTGGCATGCACCTGGCTGCTGCAGGAAGGAGATGGGAACCACTCTGGACACAGAAATTACCAGAAGACCTGCTGGTCATACTGTGCAGGTGCTCCCATGGCTGTCTGTGGCAGGAGAAAAGCCTCCCATGCACAAATCACAGGTTGGGTGATTCGTACACCTGGGTTTTTGGAGCCTTGACAGGCAGAGCACACAACGGGGCAAACAGTCAGTCAGCATCATCATTAAAATAAGATGGTGCTACAGGATGAGCTCATGAGTGAGGTTGAATTTGGCTAATGCTGGGGAGTGGGATATCCCCACAGACAGGCAGGAGAGGCTCTGGCAGATAAACTAAACCTTAGGGCTGTTAGACCTGTCCTCTGAGCTAGCTGCTCAGGCAGATACAGGCTTGGTTTTTTCCTGCCAACCTGACTTTGGGGTGCAGCAGCCTCCTCCAGTCACCCCTAAACAACACTTTGTCTCTCTTAAGCTCTGGTGATGCTTCAAACTTGGATTGACGCAGGGGCACCAAACCGCAGACATAAATGGTCTGTCATTCTCATCAAAAGGAAATCTAGCTTTCTGAGCAGCACGAGCAGCACTTCGGAGCATGCTACTACTTTGTTCTGCTTTTTTCTTCCTTCTCTCCCAAAATCATTGGTTTGGTGTTTTCTGCTGAAACCCTTCATTGCTTTTATCTCCAGTATTTTTCCAAGGGGCTGATGCCCCAGGGCTGTCTGCTTAGTCATCATATGCTTGCCCCGAGAAGAGTCACCCGTTTGCCTTGCTAATCCTATGGGAAACACAGGGTCACCCGTTTGCCTTGCTAATCCTATGGGAAACACAGGGTCACCCGTTTGCCTTGCTAATCCTATGGGAAACACAGGGTCACCCGTTTGCCTTGCTAATCCTATGGGAAACACAGGGTCACCCGTTTGCCTTGCTAATCCTATGGGAAACACAGGGTCACCCGTTTGCCTTGCTAATCCTATGGGAAACACAGGGTCACCCGTTTGCCTTGCTAATCCTATGGGAAACACAGGGTCACCCGTTTGCCTTGCTAATCCTATGGGAAACACAGGGTCACCCGTTTGCCTTGCTAATCCTATGGGAAACACAGGGTCACCCGTTTGCCTTGCTAATCCTATGGGAAACACAGGGTCACCCGTTTGCCTTGCTAATCCTATGGGAAACACAGGGTCACCCGTTTGCCTTGCTAATCCTATGGGAAACACAGGGTCACCCGTTTGCCTTGCTAATCCTATGGGAAACACAGGGTCACCCGTTTGCCTTGCTAATCCTATGGGAAACACAGGGTCACCCGTTTGCCTTGCTAATCCTATGGGAAACACAGGGTCACCCGTTTGCCTTGCTAATCCTATGGGAAACACAGGGTCACCCGTTTGCCTTGCTAATCCTATGGGAAACACAGGGTCACCCGTTTGCCTTGCTAATCCTATGGGAAACACAGGGTCACCCGTTTGCCTTGCTAATCCTATGGGAAACACAGGGTCACCCGTTTGCCTTGCTAATCCTATGGGAAACACAGGGTCACCCGTTTGCCTTGCTAATCCTATGGGAAACACAGGGTCACCCGTTTGCCTTGCTAATCCTATGGGAAACACAGGGTCACCCGTTTGCCTTGCTAATCCTATGGGAAACACAGGGTCACCCGTTTGCCTTGCTAATCCTATGGGAAACACAGGGTCACCCGTTTGCCTTGCTAATCCTATGGGAAACACAGGGTCACCCGTTTGCCTTGCTAATCCTATGGGAAACACAGGGTCACCCGTTTGCCTTGCTAATCCTATGGGAAACACAGGGTCACCCGTTTGCCTTGCTAATCCTATGGGAAACACAGGGTCACCCGTTTGCCTTGCTAATCCTATGGGAAACACAGGGTCACCCGTTTGCCTTGCTAATCCTATGGGAAACACAGGGTCACCCGTTTGCCTTGCTAATCCTATGGGAAACACAGGGTCACCCGTTTGCCTTGCTAATCCTATGGGAAACACAGGGTCACCCGTTTGCCTTGCTAATCCTATGGGAAACACAGGCACACTGTCCCATGTAGTCTGTGAATTTTTCTTGGTCCTAAAGGTGAACTGCACATTTAATGCTGCGATTTTGGCACGAGAAACATGGGGAGAGGACACAGCCCCTTTGCAGAGCTGCTGGCGTAGCCAGTGGGAAGTGTAGAGCAGTTTGTATTTGAGGGGAAGGAGGTTACATCCCTGTGTCATTTTGCTGGGACATCTCTCCCAGCTTGGTAAGTTGTTCAGAGAGAGCTGGACCGAGCTGGGGCAGGCTGGGGTGCTGCAAGCGGAGTTACATAGTGGTTTATTACTGCTGCAGGAAGTATTTATTTGTGGATGATGGCTTTCTGCATACCAGAGTGAAGACATTTTCCGCTGGTGTGCTCTGGCATATGGTGGTGTTTCCTCTGGAAAATGCATAAAGCAAAGGTCTCCCCTGCACTCTCCATCCTCTTTCCCCCATTCTCCCATTCCGGCTGCACCCTCTGGTCCCAGAAGTGATGGTAAGCACCTGGCCAGTGTTGCATCGCTTCCCCTTCTCTGGCTTGTACAGGAAGCTTTTGCTATATAGTCCGCTTTAAAAAGACCTCTACTGGGCAAAATCATCATCAGCAAAACAGCCCTGTGTGAAAACACCCTTTTTAGCAGCTGGTGAGGCACAGCCCTCACAGGGTGAGGGGTTGGGACAGTGCTGGAGAGGCACAGGAGCAGCTTTGGCAGCAGCTGCCTGCCTTGGTTGGATCTCAGCAGATGCTGTTAATGCAGAGGGCTGGAATGTGGCAAACTCCCTCCCACCTCCAACCCAGCCAGTTCTCGGAGCATGTGGGTGGTTTTCTGGGCATATCTTGAAAGTCATGTTTAGCTTATGAGAGTCACTGTTCAGGTTTGGTGAGGGACAGACACCCCCAGGGCCAAGGAGTGTCAGCAACACCATGAGCATCTGTGAGAAATAACCTCCCTTGTTATTGCCAAACAGGTTGTGGCTCCTTGATGGACTGAGAAGATATGAGCTCTTGCTGGTGGGGTCCTAATTAAATCAGGATCAATTCACCTGTAACCAGGCTTGCTCCATTATTTCCCATGCTGCTCTAATTCCTGGGGACCAGCTATCCTGGATAGGGCTGATTTCCTAGGCAAGGGCTGTCTGTGGCACTTCGTGCAGTCACCCTATGGCTCTGCTAATGTCCTCTCTTCACTTCCTGCAGAACATACTTAGAGGAGGAGCTGATAAAGGCCCGGAAGAAGCCAAGCCTGAGGAAGGACATGTACCAGAAAATGATTGAGGTGGATCCTGATGCCCCCACCGAGGAGGAGAATGTGCTGCGGGCAGTAACAAAGCCCCGCTACATGCAATGGAGGGAGACCATCAGCTCAACTGCCACACTGGGCTTCCGGATTGAGGGGATAAAGGTGAGACTGCTCTTGGTGTGCAGAGTGGGGGAAAATGCTGGAGCGTTCAGTAACCACACTCACTCGTGCACACGCACAGCAGGCTGGTGGTGAGACAGAGTCACATCAGGATGTTTCCTGCCCTGCAGGCACCTGGCCCTGAGCAAGTGCTGCTCTGAGGGTACAGCTCAGCTGAGGGCATCCATGCAAGAGGACAGTTTTAGCCATCATCTCATTAAAACAGCTGCTCCCCTGACTGCAAAATGCAAAGTTCCATGCTCCAACTTGAAGGCTCAAATTAGTTGTTTGCTTTTGATACTGCTGTGCCTCTAGGCTGAGCCATTAATCCAAATCCAAGTTTAAACATCTGCCACTCTCTGGTTGGAGCTGTGTTCAGCCACAGTTGGTGAGGAGTATGTATTTACATCCCTGTCTGGGAAAGTTCAGCAACTGAGACCTATGAAATGGAGCCGACACAGGCAGCTGCAACTCCTGCCAACACCAGCGTGTGTGTAATCTGCTGACTGCACTTGCTCAATGCTAATGCTCACATTTCTGGAGGTACCTGCTGGGATCCTTATGTGTCCCCATTACCTGAACCAGCCCACGAGGTTTTTCCTGGCAAGCAGACTTTGTGGTGAGAGAGATGTCAGATCATTCCCTCAGTTTGCTGGGATTTTCTCAGAATATTCATCTGGGTCTCTGTGGCCCTGAACTACTGCACCTTTTCTGACCAGAGATAGAGGTGCCAAAATGACAAGATTTAAACAAATTAAGCCGTTCCCTGAAAAAGCCTTTACACCAGACTTTGCATATTTTCCTGGTAGCCTTTCTCTCGACCTCCCCAGTCAAACATCAAGCAAATACTATACCATGGGTTTAAAAGGTGATCAGCAGGAGTGGGTCACATAGAGCTGCTGTTTGTGGTTGCCCACATACCAAACCACCACTGGGAAGGGATCTATCTGCTGTGCAGTACGAAGTCCTCAGGCTGTGGGAAGCCCAGTGGAGCACGTTGTGCACAGGGAGGAGGGCACCTTCTCTATTAATCTGTTTAATGGCCAGCAGAGGACATGGCATTTCTCTCTAACTCAACCACACTCAGAAACCCAAGGAGCAGCCCTTGGGCTGAACCCCATGAAGAGTTTTCTGGCATGAACAATGCAAGGCACCCCTGCCCATGCTATGCCCCTGTCTGGGATGCTGCTGGCTGTGCTCCTCTGCAGCAACTTTCTGCAGTGCCTACATTGGGTCAGGGCACTTGCCTGCTCCCAAAGCTCTTCTCTGATCCCCCCAGCTGTCCCAAAGTCCCTTTGCTCCTGCGGGTGTCCACAAGCATGCCACAAGCTGCTCCAGCTCAGGACAACCCTTTGCATAGTTACCATTGCTGCTGTTTTGCATTCTCATTGCTGTTGTTTTGCTGGTTGTTATTATAAAACTGAGGCTGTATAAAATGGGAATCAGCCAGTTGGGATCAAAATTCCCATGCAAAATTCCCATGCTCACTTTGTTCTCGCTATAACCAGGAATATGTGTCTATTTATAGTCCAACATGATACATCCTTGGTCGCTGGTGATCTGGGCATGTTTAGGGGGGCTCTATGGCAAAAGCAGGTTGTACCTGAACAGCTTGAAATGAAAAACGTTAAAAAAACCTGAATCGTATTCTCACATGGGTCAAAAAACCATGTGGAGGGAAATAAAAGCCATAGAGGAGAGGTGAGAATCACACCTCTGTTTTATCTGACCGTAAGTGTGCTGCTGCACAATATAAGCAGTGAGTTTTTTTCAAAGAGATGAGGCAGACCTTTAATTGAAAGTTGTTGAGAAGTGCTGGCCTCTAGGTGTAATCCTGCTGCTGCTGCTAGGGGCTAATTTGATCAAGGTTCAAATAATAGTAATTCTCTGTAAACCCCTCAGCTTCTGGGTTATTTTCACCTAAGTTAAAACATTAACAGTTCATGCTGATTCCTGGCTGACATTTTTTCCAGCAGGGCTATAGAGTTGGTCATGCTGTACTGTATCCTGATTTTTATCCCATTTCTGGGGGCAAGTCTCCACATTAGGGAAAGAACCTTCAGCGCCCTGAGCTGCTACTGAGCCCTTAGAGCAAATTTCAGGAAAATATTATTTAATGACAAGTCTCATGTTTTCTTTCCTGCTGCAAATGCTTCCCTGAGATGAGTAGGGGTGAACCTGCCCTGCCTGTTGCTCATGGCTGGAGACTGATACAGGAGATACCTTCCCATGCAAGGGAAGGGCAGGATTTAGCCCTTGGCATGTGATCTGGGAGGGGGCACAGGAGGAGAAGGGGAACCATGTTAGCCTTTTGGACAGCACAGGCAGTTGAGGGGAACAGGCAGCTCAGGGTTGGGAAGGAACCTTCAGCATCCTGAGCTGCTACTGAGCCCTTAGAGCAAATTTCAGGAAAATATTATTTAATGACAAGTCTCATGTTTTCTTTCCTGCTGCAAATGCTTCCCTGAGATGAGTAGGGGTGAACCTGCCCTGCCTGTTGCTCATGGCTGGAGACTGATACAGGAGATACCTTCCCATGCAAGGGAAGGGCAGGATTTAGCCCTTGGCATGTGATCTGGGAGGGGGCACAGGAGGAGAAGGGGAACCATGTTAGCCTTTTGGACAGCACAGGCAGTTGAGGGGAACAGGCAGCTCAGGGTTGGGAAGGAGTATTGGGATGCTTTCCTGTCTGAGATCTCACCTTCCCAGGGGGGCCTTGAGGACCCAGTTCTTCCTCTTTAACATAGAATTTTTCCTATGCTAAAGGAGGTGATGACACTCATCTAACTTTCTGGAGTATCTTGAAACTGTTAGAAACAGTAGCTATTAATAAAAATTACACTGCTAAAGTAATACAGGTGATCCCTGGTGGCCCAGTTGAAGCTTACTGGAGCTCACTGCAAGAAGCATCACTCCTGAGCTCCTGCTCTGGTCTGGGAGTTATTCAGCATTGCCTGCAGTAAAACATGTTGGGATGGTGTTTCCAGGGGCTGCGACATTTGTGGGGTTGCAGAACGAGCCCTGAAAGTCCGAGCCCCATCCAAGGCTGAACATGGTGCCCGAGGGAGAGCCGGCTGATCCCAACCCTGCCCCAGTGACACCGGCACAAACTGGAAAGGCTGGTGGGGCAAAGGTTGCAATAGCCCTTATCAGCCCCCCTCACATTTCTGCTGTGTGGAAACCAGACCCTTCAGGGCTTGCATGTCATGGCAGTTGTCATCCCCATGGCAGCAGCATCTGGCTGGGCAAGGAAATGGCAGGAGGCGGGTAATAATGGGAGAAGCACTATAAATAGGCTGTTTAGCTTTTCTGAAGCCTAGACTGCCTTATCTCAAAGGTCATCTGTGGTGTTCATTTATTTTTAGGAACACTTAGAAGTCCATCTCCTTGCTTTGATGCTTTATGGAAAGCTGTGCTCTTTACATGTGAAATTAGTGCTACGGCACTTCTCCAAATTTATATCTATCATCCCCCAGGGAAAGGCTCGGTTGGTTTCTGAACTGGCACATCAGAGCTCATGTGACAGACATATAGCTGTATAGTGCCCTACCCCTATACATCTCACACATGCCACCAGAGCATCTTTGGCAAGTCCTCCTGTCTGCGCTGCTGCAACCTGCTGCATTGCCAGACACAGCTGAAAGCAGAGAGCCTGGCTCTGCTTGATCCATCAGCAGGATAGCAGGGATGTCTCTGGCCAAAATGTTGTTCCTGGCCTCTGTTGATGTGTGTTCTGCCAACTCTTAGCCTTGCTCTTACACCCTATGGCAGCATAGTGGTCAGGCTGGGCCTAGGGTGGTTTGAAGGTGGGTGCATTGGTTGCATCCTGTGCAAACAAAGCTTTCCCTGGAGACCAAGATCTTTCACATGTTGCTTTTGTTATTGTTTTTGTTAGCACTTGCACAAAATGCAAGCTGGAAGTTGGAGGTGTGCTGTATGATTCATCCCAAACTGCACATCATGTGTAGGTTTGGTGCTGGCCTTGTCTTGCCTACCTCTCCACAGCCTGGGCAATTTGACTTTTCCCCAGGCTGGGCTGACCACCATGCCCATGGCCAGCCCTCTGTCCAGGGGGATGCACATGGGCTCATCCCAGAGCACTTCCCTGGAAGGGTCTCAAAGCCCTGTGGGGCACATAAATCTCTGGGCCGGGTAATTTCATTGTGCTTCTCTTCCTTCCCCAGCCTCTGCTCTGCTTCTTCATCCTTACTTCATCTTCCCTGGCCCACAGGATGTCTTTTTGAACTCTGCCCCTTTGGTCTATTGTGTGCAAATAAGCTATCCAGAGCAGTGGGATGGAGCTCTGCAAGAGAAGCTGTGAGCACCAGCATGTGTGGTTTAAAATAGCCCCTGTATCCAGGCAGCAAGCTGTGCCTGCCTGATCCACCACTGTTCTGAACAATGAAACGTGCTGATCTGAAAATCAGAGCTCCAGCAGGCCCAGGAAAATGGGGAGTGACCTACACAGCTGCCCAGAAGTTCAGCCAGGAGCTTCTGTGTCAGGGCTGTCTCCACAGCAGACCAAGACATGCCATCCCTGCAGTGAGCCAAGCATGGACATGCCTCTAGGGAAGGAAGCACATGGCAGTTCTCTGTCTCTCAGTGCCAGGCTGCTGCCTTTGAGGGTTTGTGATCCATGGGCAAGCAAAGGGCAAGTGAGGCAAGACAGTCATGGGGCTTGCTCCTTGCCTTCATCTCCTTGCTGCAATGGTTCAGAGAGGACTTCATGTGGAGAGGTTTTTGTGCCTGCTCCTGAGATGTTGTCTCAGTCCACACTCTTTTTGGCCTGCTGTAGTCATACTCTGCGTTCCTCCCCAAGCAGGCGTGCAGCCCAAGGCTGGTGTCAGCACCTGTGTTAGCCACAGCAGTGATGAGAAGCTGTTTGGGCACAGTGTGGACAGAAACGGATGGTGTCCAGGCTTTGTTGGCAGCATCCATAAGAGGTAGTTTGTCCATGTTGCCAGTGACCTTGGAAAGCATGTGGTGGTGGAGAATTGCCATTTGCATTAGGGGGCAATGCAACAGAGCTGTGTGATGATTTGGGATGTACGAGGCAGGGAGCTGCTGCCTCTGATCACTCCTCCCTCATAGACAGATCCTTCAGCTGCCAAAAATTTTGGTCACATCCTACTCAGGGACGTGTGATTGCTGAAAAACCAGTCCTGCCCTGGCTCTCTCTGCTCACCAACCTCTCTTTTTTTTTTTTTTTCCCTAGAAAGAGGATGGGACTGTGAACCGGGACTTCAAGAAGACACGGACAAAGGAACAAGTCATGGAGGCCTTCAGGGAGTTCACCAGAGGAAACCGCAATGTTGTGGTGAGTGGAGGAGGCTGGGGGCACTGCCTGGAGAGGGCTGTTTCCACAGACCCTGGCCTCAGCTCATCAGCTCCCTGCCATGAGGAGCTGCAGCCCAAGAAACCTCTCTTACAAAAATCATTAAAAATGGCAAAGACACAATCCTGATACAGGAGCGAGGGGAGAGCAGCAGCTGTGAGGGGACACGTTTGCTAGGGCAGCACTGCTTGTGCCAGGACTGAGTCTGCTGAGGATGCCCAAAACCTGCTGTGGAGGCATAGCCATGCTTTGCCCCCTCATCTCTGGGGCTGATGGCCTCTGAGCCCACTCTTTACCCCAGTAAATGATGGTGGGGGCTCCTACCCCAGCACAGGACGGGTGTCCAAGGCATCCCTCTGCCCATGCCAGGCACCCTCCACATGGGCAAGCAGCTGTTGGCATTGCCCAAGTTTCTCATTGTTGCCAGAAGAAGTAAGAGATGTAGCTGTAAAAAATTTACACCGTGTCAAATATCCCATCTGACAAAGCACTTCCATCTTAAGATGTAATATATAGAGCCTATCAACACAAGGCTCCAGCTGGGATGGTCCTTGGCACTGCCTTCTTCAAACCAGTATGTTCACCTTGAGAAGAGTTACCCAGGGATTATCCCTGGATCTGAAAAGAAAGTTGTCTGGCTGTATTTTATCCCCAAAGAGTTTGGAGTACACTCACACCATCACACCCTGGCTCTGAGTGGGGCTTGTTGGCCAAACCATTGCGGTACAGCAACCCTCACATCTCCCTGTGCAGTCAAGTGTGAGAATTTAGGTATATTATAGTGCCCAGGTACCTGCTGTGCATGTTCCTGTGCTTAATACTTCTGTCTAAACTTCAAAATCAAATTATTAAAAACCTCCCCTGAGAAAATGTAGTGCCTTCCAGCAATTGGCAGGGATGCTTGAATGGACACATGGGTCATCCCCTGAGTGCTGACTGGTGTGAGAGCACTTCCACCTATGTTGCTGACTTTACAGAAGTGCTGATATAGAGTTATTACAGAAGTGTCTCATGATACTTGACTGATTGAGTGATAAAATGACAGACGAGGTGAAAGGCTGACCTATTAAAAGAATGCAAGTGAGAGAAAAAAGCAGCCTGGCTGTGCATGCACAGCAGTGGCTGCTGAATTAGCTCTTCCTCGGGAGCACTGTGGATGCAGCAAGGAGAGTCTCCAGAAATCACAGGTTTAGCAAAAGCAAATGTGCTCACTAAGATTTGGGAGCCAGAGGAGCTCACAGGATACCATGGAGGTCAAAAGGATCCCAAAAAAGAGGGGACACCCTCTCAGAGGACAGGTCTGTGGGACGATGCTGAGTACAGGGTGGCTGAAGGACACCCCCAGCAAACCATGCAAACATGATATGGAAAGGATGCCAGGAGGGATCGCTTTCCTGTCTCCCCCATGCATTAGTTTTTATTCAGGGTTCCTGCAGCACTAATTTGCTTTATTTTTAAATTTATTTTTTTTTTTGTAATTGCAGAACAGTTACCTTAACCGGTTGAAGGGTATCCGTGCTACCCTGGAGACATCCCCATTCTTCAAGTGCCATGAGGTAATACTCGTGTTTAGATAGATCTGCCTGGAAATGCAAACAGTTTAATCTCAGCTTGTCCAAGGAGACAAGAGAAACCAAAGTCAGAGGGTGTAAATTTCTACAATTTTGAATGTATTCTTATATTTTCATTTCCCTATTTATCCTAATACTTATGTGGAAATACAGCTGATGACTGATAGAAAGTTAATGAATCTGATATGGGCTCAAATCTACTGAAAACCAGGACTGATACAGATTAAAAGTGATCTAGAAGGAATTTAGACTACTTACGGGTTTATGACTGGGAGAAATTATTTGTATAACAGTATACGGGTTTTCTGGAAGGAAATGCCTGTCTGAATGCACATCAGGTATCACTTGGCAGCCACTTCTTCCATGTGATCAGACAAGGCTTTGAATTAGCTATACATTGCAGATCATGCCAGAGGTGCCTTTGATGAGGTGGCTGGGACACCATAGTCAGGACTCTTCCCATAGAAGGACTTTCCTCCAGCATTTTCTGCAGTGAAAATTCTGTTCTGGTGGGAAAACAAAAAGGAAGCACTATATTTTTTGGCTGTTTCATTGGGAACTGGGATGCACCACAATTTAATGAAACCATTGCATTGATTTAGCATCATCAAAGAGTATTTGCTATTGCACCTACTTAACAAAACATGAGAGCATGTGTCCTTGGCACATGTTTTCTATGGACAGAAGAGCCACAGCTCTCAGAGCCCACAGTCCGTCAGGCAGAGCTATGTGAGTCACCTTGACCTTGCCCACAAACAGGGGGTCGTGCTGGGAGCTGGAGAGAGATGGGGCTATGCTTGATGACAGGTCTGTAAGGCAATTGGAAGGGACATGTCAAAACTGAGGGTTTCAGATCAGTTCAACATGGGGAAAAAAAATACTCCCTGAAACCAAGTGCCAGAGTTTCAATTGAAAACACAAAAACAAAACAGCCTTTCAAGGGGGTTTTGAAAGGAGTTTCCAACCCTTAAAAATTAAAAAAGCAGCAGCTTTGACTTTCTGTCCCACTTTGAGAGTAAGCACAGCAGAAGGTCTGCCAAGCTCTGTGTGTCTCTCCATGGGGCCCTCACTGGGCAGGGCTCCTCCAAGGAGCTGTAGGAGAATCCAGCAACCCAGGACAGGCAAGTAAAGGACATCAGCAAAAGGCTTTTCCTTAAAGTTAAAATGCTCTGCCCTGGCCAAGAGAAATCTGTAAGAGCTTAGAAGGAGAAGAGCTAAAGATAAACATTTATGGGAAGTAATACATATCTCTGGACCTTGGACGTTTTCCCAATGCGCTGACGGAGGAAGTCTCCTAAAAAATGTCAATTCATAATAGCTTTTGCAAACAGAACATGCTTCCCATGTAAAACCCTCATCTAAAGGCAAACCTCATCCTAAACCTTACCAATTTGCACGGACATGGGAGACTCCCCGTAACCTTTAGTGCTGCTGTTTGAAGGACTGACATCAGCTGGATGCCTCTAGGGGTGTGCTCCTCCATGTATCTGCCCAGCTTGTGAGGCACTCCTGGCTCTCAGCACAACGTCCTGTCTGCTAATAACCATTGCAATCTGGTCACCATGGTCCCTATTTGTCATACAGGGGTAAGTGAGTTCGTAATCCATCAATTCATGCACATGAGGCATAATTTGGAAAGTGATCATCATTTGGGATGGCTCTCAAGCGTGGCCATCAGTGCTTTTCTGTAGTACCACCTGTTAAAATCTGCCGACTGGAGTAGCAGATTCAGCAGAAGGTCTCGTCTTGCTGCAACAGGCGTTGAGACTGCAGAGACAATGTGGTTTACCTTCCCAAATGCATCCATTCCCTTGCCCAGGCCAATACTTGCTATAGGATTTTCCCAAAGGCCTATATGAAGGAGCCCTTCAAAGCAGATGCAGCCGAGTCAACTCATGGAAAAGGAAATTTGTGTACATGCTTCTCTGTAACTTGCATCCCCAGAGCACTGTGAGTGCTAGGAGGATATCCTAGGGGTAAGCAGGGTGCAATTGGGCAGTGTTTCAGGCAGGGGACAGACCATTGCAAGTAACTTGTATTTTGAGTGTACCTATCCCTGTGGTTATGTCTGCAGGGCTGGTGAGTGTGAATAGCACGAGCCAGTCACAAAGAACCAGCCTTGGAAAAAAGTCCCCATCTGAACGCTGGGATAATTAATCTCATTTCTTCCCCAGTGACCTTGACTCATTTTCCAAAATGGCGTATCTGTCTTTCACACCCATGTTTTCCTGATCCTCTCCTGCCAAGAGCTGGGATTTGTATGAGTAAATCAGCTTGTCTGAATTTGCATGTGCAAACACAGCCAGCAACACACAGAGCTTGCTTTAGCTCATGCAGAATCTCAGCATCATGTCATGCAAATGCAGCCTAAGATAAAGTGTCTGAAAGGCCTGAAGCTTGCTGAGAATGAGCAGCAGGAGAACCACTAACAGGTCCCTCCTTTCTACAGGTAATCGGGAGCTCCCTCCTATTCATTCATGACAAGAGGGAACAGGCCAAAGTCTGGATGATTGACTTTGGGAAAACTACCCCACTACCAGAGGGACAAGTTCTCCAGCACAACGTGCCCTGGGTGGAAGGGAACAGAGAGGATGGCTACCTCTGGGGGCTGGACAACCTCATTCAGATCCTGACAGAGTTGTCCCAGAACGAAGACTTCCATTAAAGCCGCATGTCCGACTCTGCCACTACCCCCAGCCTGTCCCGACTGACTCTTCTGAACTGCACTACAAGACACTTTCCAGCCCTCGCCCTTCCCATTTGAAAGCTATACTCTTCCTATTTAATATGGTTTTGTTGGGGTTTTTTAGGTTGTCTTTTGTTTTCCCTCCCCATAAATAGAGAGCTAACCTGCCAGAACAAAAGCTGAACTTGAAACCTTGGTTTTGCAGATTTGGTGAGAGCACATAGCCAGGAGCAGCCCAATGGGTTGCTTAGGCAAGTATATGCTTTGCCTGTTACACTTTTGTCTCTTATGCTGCCTGATTTTGAGAAGGCCTTTAGACAAAGGAGCCTCTCCCTTCCCTGGCATCAGTAGCTGTATCCCAAAAATGATCAGTGGCCAAGCCCAAGGCCCTTTGGCTGGGGTGGGAGCCCTTTATTTGTTTTTACCAGCACCTTTCAGCCTAGGGAACTGGCTGCACCAAATCCTTAAATGATGCTAGAAGGGCAGATTTGGCTTTTTCTTTGTGTTCAAGACATCCCATAGAGGTTGCTTAATTACTATCAGGTGGCACTGGGTATTGAGGGTTTCCCTCCTGCTGTGGGGCCGTGTGGTTGGGCACAGGCCCATGGCTAAGTGCTTCCCACCTGCCTCCCCCACGCTGGGTGCACTGGTATGGTGAGTACTACTTCAAACTCCTCTCTAGAGAGCCAGTTTCCCTGCTAGGAGCTGCTTACAACCATCCTTAGCTGGGGTCTCCAGCCCTCCACAGGGAATTAAGACTTTGGGTAGGGCTGAGGGAGAGAAAAACAGCTTATAAGAGACTACTATGAGACCTAATGTAGACATCCAGGTTGCTCAATCTTGTTTGGCAGTAGCCAAGCACATGTGTAGGGTTAGTGCTGTTGAATACCTGCATTTGGCCCAGAATGATTCTTCCACCAGGAGCATGCATGTAATTTTTATCAATGGCAGGTGAAGGGTTACAACAGCAAAGCAGCTTTCAAGGTGGCTGGGTTAGCAGTCTTTGACGAAGCAGAGTTGGGGTCAGACATCCCTGTGCCTTCCCTTTTTTTCACCGCAGAGCTGACTGACTCTGCCGCTACTCATTGACGCCGGCTTCCCAGCCTGCTCCAGCTGCGCGTTTTGCCTCTGCAGTCCTGCTCCCTCAAAAACACCCAGTTCCCTATTTAGGGCGGAGGCTATTTTTTAACTTCCTGGAACATTTGAATGAAATGGCTTGCTTCTGGCAGAGCTGGTGCACTAAAGGTCAGCAGTTGAGAGGCTGGTGGGGAGGCTGCAGGGCAGGGCGGCGAGTCCCTCACATTGAGGACAGAAGGAGCATGCAAGTGCTAGAGGCAGCGCAGGAGCTTGGCAGCCACAAATCCCTCACCCATCCCATCCCCAAACCCCCCATCACATCTCACCCCCCTCTGCCATCATTTGGTGGGTCCAGCATCCTCGGTGGGGGAGGCCTTCTCCTGGCAGCAATAAGGAGTTTGCCATTGAGCTTTCTGCAGCCATGCTCCAGCCTCTTTCCTGAGGATTGAAGTCTCCCAAATTTTTTTTCTGTTCATATTTCTCCAGACAGATGTCATTAACTCATCTAATGCCATTATACGTGGTTGCACTGTGTTAGCTCTTTGCCAAGCTTTCTAGAATAGTCCATGTGGAAGTGCCTTAATAGACTTGCCTCTGTTCCATTAGAGTAGTGGAAAAGGTTGGGTTATTTTTGTTATATTTATTTTGATCCCATTTTAATTGCACAAAACACTAAAACTAAATGCATGAAGTCCCTCTCTTTTTTTTTTTTTTTTTTTTTTTTTTTTTAAATTTGTAGTATGTTTTTAGTTTTTAAACCATCCCTTTTCCAGCTTTGGAGAAAGGGTATGAACAGATATGCATAGGTATGTACCAGTTATCGCTGTACTTTAGCTTTGAGCTGCTTTTATATATGTATGTTATTTTTTAAGCCTGTTTATAAACCAGATTCCTTGCTTCATGACTTCAGAAGAAGCAGATGGTTCCTCTTGGATGTCTTACGCCTTTGTGGAGGCTGGAATGGTTGCTGAGGGATTTTCCCCACTCCCACCTTGATCATTGGTTAATAGAGAAAAATCCAAACTGGACTGAAACACCAACGCACAGTGCCTGTAAAAAAATTCTGTAACTTTGCAAATAAAGGCATATGGGAAGCATTTGCCCGATGTACGGTCCATGTCTGCCCCTGCATAGCTTGCAGCAGCCTGGGTAGCATCTGTGGGGAGGCTTAGAAGCCTAGGACCACAGAGATTATCTAGAGGGCTGGAGCCCCTCTTCTATGACGACAGGCTGAGAAAGTCGGGGTTGTTCAGCCTGGAGAAGAGAAGGCTCCTGGGAGGCCTTCTAGTTCCTGAAGGGGCTACAACAAAGCTAGGGAGGGACTTTTTACAAGGACATAGAGAGATAGGATGAGGGGGAACGGCTTTAAACTGGAGAGGCTAGATTTAGGTTAGACATTAGGAAGAAATTCTTGTGGCACTGGATCAGATTGCCCAGGGAAGTTGTGGCTGCCCCTTTCCTGGAAGTGTTCAAGGCCAGGTTGGATGGGGCTTTGAGCAATCCTCTCCATGCAGGGGGATTAAAACCAGGTGACCTTTGAAATCTCTTCCCATCCAAACCATTCAAGCAACTCTGGCTTGAGAATGTGCCTGACAGCTCCAGGGTCCTGCTGGTTTGGGCAGAGAGGGCAGAGGTTGGGGGGAGTGTCTGTGCACCCTCCAGGTTTTGGTGGGGAGGGTTCATGTTGAGTTTTAACCCCCAAACTGAGTTGTGCTCAAGCTGCTCCTTTCCGCCGTATCTCAAAAAACTTGCCCTGCTCGTCTTGCCGATCAGCCCGTCCCTTCGTGGGGTGGGAACTGCCTCCTGGCAGCGGCGGGGCCGGGACTCCCGGGCGCTCCCCTCGGAGGCTGAGAGGTGGATGCTCCCTCGGCGGCCGCCGGCAGCCTGAGACCGGGACAGCGGAGCGGGAAAGGCCAACCCGGGCTTCCCCGGACGGGTCCTGCAGGAGAGGGGTGCGTTTCCCCGCGGGCGGGGCGCCAGCGCAGCGACCGCCCCAGGGGCTGCTCGGGATGCTCTCCCGTCCCTGCCTGCTCCCTGGCCGCCGCTTGTTTGGGATTTGCCCCCACGCTCGGCAGTTTTGGGACTTCTTCTCTGTCGAGGTTTCCATTAGGAGCTGGGGGGCAGGGGATAATTAAAATTACTTCAACATCTTCTCACCAAGTGGCTCCATCCAGGATCCCCGCTGGAGCATCATGCTGCCCTTAGCCTATTTCTGAGTAGAGACTTACATTTCTGGGAAGGAGAGACTGGGAAAACGTCTGCCCTCTCTGTGCTTGGCCCTCTGCCAGCACCCTGTCCCCCTGAAGGACAGCCCCTGCCACCCTGACGGCCAGCTTTCTGTCTTAAAGTGCCTTGTCTCATTTGGGTCTGAGCTTTGGTCTCTTCCCCAGCTTTAAAAAAAACCCCAACAAACAGATTTGTTTTTTGTTATTGTGAAGTGTAAAAAATAAAATAAAGAAAAAAGGTGCTGCAGATGGCACTGCTGTAGTATGTGTTGGTTTGGTTTGTGTTTTTCACACATGGTTTTAAGTCCATGAACATAGTCACACTCCCACAAGCAGCACGAGATGCTCACCCAGAGGTTTTAGGGATGAGCCCCCTCATGGCCGGGGTCCTGGTCCCCATGGTGGGGCTGGGAACACAGGGCTGCCATGTCCTGTGTCTCTGTCCCCTGACCCACCACAAGTGAGGCACTAGAGCACAGCAAAGAAGCCTTCATGTGAGGAAGCTCTGAAAGATGCCCCAGGGGCTGGTGTTGCTTTTATACTGACAGGTTTCTCTCCCCGCTGTAAGCTGTGCTTCCACCCCGCAGCAGCCAGAGAGCACAGGAGAGCTGCTGCTGGGGCTGCTATGAACAGAAGTACTGTGGAGGAGGCACCCGAGTAAATTCCACTCGGAACAGCACTGGAGGAGACTGTGGCAAATGTAAGTCTGGGGGCCCGGCAGCTCATTCTGCTGCCAGGGCTGATGATTTCTGGGACTTTATATCTTCTGCCATTTGTCCATTGTATATTAATAATGTCAGTTCTGGAGGACTGGGGATCAGCTGCCTCCCCTCTCTCTATTACCAGTGTGTTCAGACACATTTTCCCTAATGTAAAAATCTTACACTTGAAACAACCAAAGAAGCACGAAGGGCAACAGAGGCACAAAATTATTTACTCAAACAGCTGACCAGAGCCAGAAAGAAAAAAAAAACAAATACTTGGATTTCTAACAACTGCCACCCCTGTCAGGAAGTGCTTTTGCTCCAAGAGATTTTATATGCTGCTTTACCTAACAAGAGTCCAGGGACGTTTCCTAGGAACACACACAAACAGCTACTTCTATTGCAAAAATGGGGTTTGGGTTGGATAAGGGAATGAGAGATGGGAAAGCAACACAGGTCTGTAGAAGCAAAGCAGAGAGATGTTACAGATGTGATTCCCTGTTGTAAAGGATCAGCAGCTAAAAAAATTTTGCCAGCTGCAGTGCTTTCAGTGTAGTATTATTTGCAAGTGCTAAATTCACACTTCATTCTTTTTTATGCCTCCAAAAGAGTTGAGGGGAAGAAGGTACCTGTGGGAAGGGTGCTGCAGGCTGCTAACACCATATGAAGGCAGGCAGCCCCTTGCAATGATTTGCCATAGCTTCAGGTACAGTACCTGCCCATGTCTGCTGGAAACTTGCACTAGTAAAATCCCTCCTGTGCCTGCCCAGAGGAGCAGTGGGATGCAGGGATACCTGATCTTACTTGGTGATATCCAGACAGTGAGCAGCAGTGTCAGCAGACCAGGTTATGGTATGCTGAGCACAGAGCCTGCCAGGGCCCTCATGTGATGTCTATGCAGGATTGATGGCTGCTGGCCACTACTGCTGCCCCCACTGGTTTCTACCCAAATGCTGCCCAGGCTGGCTGCTCAGTGGTGGCAGGCCTCTGAATAAACAGAATTTAAGCCTGGAATTTGGTGCTTATCTGGCTGATAGACCAAGGCTCACCCCTTAAAAACCTGTGACCATCTGTCATGTCACTAGCAGCCA